CGGGCCCGGTTCCCGCCCTGCCCCTTTTTTAGCCCTTCCAACCGACCTCATGGCCCCGCCCTCGCGACGCAGGTCAAGGGGATTGTTGGCAATGTCAAGGTTTTTATCGAGACGGGCCTCATCAAGATTGGAGTTGGGCCAGGCCCGCCGCCCCCCCCCCCCCCCCCCTCCCGCCCCCCTTTCTGCCGCCCGCCCCACATCTCCGCATCACGCACTTCACAGGCAACGGCCTCTTCACGATCACGGTCAACCTCGGCGGCCTCGAGTGGGTGTACGTCAGCTGCCTCAAGGCCGGCGAGGGGCTCACCACCGTCCGCTCGCTCGGCTTCGTCAACAAGAAGAAGCCGCAGCCGCCGGCCTAGCAAGCTTGACCGAGCCGCATGGCCACCCCTAGCTCCACCCCGGCGGGCAAAGCAGGCCTCTCCATCGATGCCTCTCCATGGCATGCATGTGTGCTGAGCATTCTTTCCACACGTTGTTTTTCGTGCCAGTGATCCTCAAGTCCTAGCCCGAGCAAGAATTCTTTTGGCTCGAGCGAAAGCGGGTCTCCTTGCCGCTCCTCGTCTGCCAGCTTGCCAGCTCGCAGCCGCTCGACGTATCTACGTCCAGAGATGGCTCCTCACGAGTCTCTGCCCTGGTGGCAGCTCTTTTCGCCCGCCGACCTTCCCATCGCGGTCATCGTGCTCGCAATCGGCTTCCACACCGAGGCAGCCAGGATCGGAGCCGTCCTCAAGGACCGGCAGACTCGTGCGGCCTTCTGCGCGACGCTCCTCACCACGCTGCTCATCGTGCCGCTAATCGCGATCTCCGCTGTCTGGATTGTGCCGCACGTGCCACCCGAGGGCGTCATCGGCATCCTCACCGTCGCTCTGCTGCCGGGTGGCCCGCTCGCCAATATCCTCGCGGTGGCCGTCGGCGCAAACTCCGAGCTCAACGTGACTCTCACGGTGGCGGAGATGATCCTGTCCACCGCTCTGCTGCCCCTCGGGCTGCTGGTGGTGATGCCGCGCGTCCTCGGCGCCGAGCAAGTCATCCGCGTCCCATTTAGTGAGATGGTGCACGGCATCGCCCTCGTGCTTGGGCCGATGCTGACTGGCGTCGCGGCGAGCAGCCTGACGCGGCTGGAGGGGCTCACCGCCGCGCGGAGGCGGGTCGTCAAGCGGAGGATCTTCCGCCTCCTCCTCCTCCTCGCCCTCCTCCTCGCCATCGCCGTCCGGCGGCTCCACACGAGCGGCCCGCCGCCTCTGTCGGCGCAGCTCACAGAGCTCTTGCGCTCCGCAGAGCTGCCGCCCGACGCGACGCTCCTCGCGGCGCCCCTCTTCGGCGTGGCGACCGTCGCCTGGTGCTGCCTCCTCGGCTGGACCATGCCCGCCCAGCCGACGCCCAACCGCATCTCTATCTGCCTCGAGGTTGGAACGCGAGACCTCACCATCGCGCTGGTCATCGCGCTGGTCGGGCTGCCGTCGCTGCCGGCCCCGCAGCGCGCGCAGGTGGCCCTCGCCGTCCTGCTCGCGTGGGCCACCTGCAACGGCGGCGTCGCCCTCTCCGGCTTCCTCATGTGCGCGCTGTCTGGGCCCGTCTGCTATGCCGACGCGGGTGGCGGGGACGGCGGAGGCGGAGGCGGCGCCAGGGGCGCGGACTGCGAGAGGGAGGAGCAGGAGGGGGAGCCGGACAAGCTCGCCCTCCGGACGAGCTTGCTCGAGGGGTCGGGCCGGAAGAGCGACGCGGAGGACGGCGCGGGACCGACCGGCGCGACGCTGGTGTGAGCCTGTGAGCGGTGCGTGGGTTGTTGCACGAGTATATGGGACACGATGTCTCAAATATGAGGGGTTTTGACTATTACCGCGGCTCCTGACGCTATCCCTGGCAGCTCTAATGACCAGGATCAGTAGTGTTGTCATAGAGGGTGCCCATACTAGCGCAGGAGAGCTTTCTGCCACACTCGCCGCCCGGACCGACCGCGTCCGCGCCGTCCCCTTCTGGGGCCGGTTCCGCAGCCAGCGAGAGCCGACCGCAGCGGGGCCGTGCCGCGGGTGCCTACTGCCGAGTGCCACGAACACTGCGCCGTCCCGCCATCACCTACAGACTGTCTTGTGTGATGGTTGGGATGTCCAAACGCCACCATCTTGGCTCTTGCGACCTCAAACCCGCGAGCTGTATGGCTGGTCCTGACGTCGACAGACGCCCGATGACCACGGTGAAGCTGAGCCGGAACGCGTCGACAAGTCTCGTCTGAGCCCGTGGCGGTCGCCGGCTGAGTCGCTGTGCACGGGCCGGTACCTCGGGCGTCACCTCCGCAGCCTCAGGTCTCACACTCCACCACCTCCGCCAGGACGCCTTCGGTGGCACGCTCGGCGGCGTACTTTCTGCAGCTCCATCTCGAGAACGGCGTCGAGCCTACTCACTCCTGCTGGATACACGCACTCCCTGGGACCCAGGGAGTGTGGTATCCAGCAAGCGGTGAGGGCCTCGAAGTCGCCCTCGGTCATCACGCCCGCCCCGCCTACTCCCCGCAGCAGCTCATCCGCGGCGATGGACAGGTCGCCCATCGTCAGCGGCGGCAGCTCGCGCCTGCCGGCGAGCGGCACGGCTCAGTGTCGTCTCGCCCCATCACACGCCAACGCCGCCGTCCTACTTGCCTCTTTCTCTCTCTTAGCGGGAGACGCGCGCCAGTGGCTGTCCGAATCGGCCGCGTCCGCCGCGTCGTTCACCGCCATCCCCGGCCGGCACCCGGTCTGCCGCGCGAAGCACAAGTAGGCGTTCATGATGAAGGCCACGTTCACCTCGAACGGCTCTATCAGCTGCGTGTCCTGCATCTGGTACTCCCCCACTTGGAAGAGGTGCTGCCTCGTGCACGGCTTCGTCGTCGCCTCGCGCAGCTCGGCCATCGTCCGCCGGCTCGCCTCGGCGCTCGCCCTCTCGCTCGCCGCCCGCTGCGCCGCTTCACTCTGCCCGTGCGACGCCCTCTCCCGCGCCGCCTCGTGGCCCGCCGCCCGGCCGGCGGCTCCTGCCGCGTCCTTCATCCCGCCGCCGCCGCCGTCGTACAGCGACATCACCTGCTTGGTCACCAGCCGCCAGTACTGCCTCGCGTCGTCCGGCATCGCCGGCCAGATCTCGCGCCACACGTGGTTCTTCATGTGCTGCAGCGCGACGTAGATCGTGTTCTCGCCGCGACCCGTGCGCACTGTCGGCTCCTCCTCCCGCGCGTCGCCCCGCTCGGTCGCGTGCCACCGGCTCGCCCTCGGCGCGATGATTCGCGTCGTCGCCAGCCACTTGTGCCGAAGCGGATCGTCCACCGCATCGTCGGGTGCAGACCGAGGGCCGTCCGCTGCATCGGCACGCTCTTCCCCGCCGCGGCCTGCGTCGCCAAAAACTCGCGCAGCCGCAGGCGCACGCGCCGAAGCTGCACCGACAGCGCCGGCCGTGGGGCGCTAGCATCGCGCCTTCCTCAGTGGCATGCATTTCTTTGCGACAGAAGCCTGGAGAGCAGCTCCTCTGCTGCTCACACGCTCAGCACAGATGGCACAGCCTACTGTGCGGCTGCCACAGCTGTGACAGCGATGGGCTCGCCCTCACTGGCCCTCAGTCAGTTGTGTGAGCGACACTGCTCGGCGACTGCCGGCACACCGCTGTGAGACCGTGGGTGTGAGGTAAAACCACGCTACCAGCGCTTGGTCACATCAGCCCCGAGGTCAGATCTTTCTACTCTGTTGATGACAAGACTTGTCTACTGGCTGGAGCCGAGCAGGAGGCAGGAGGGCCCGGCGCACAACCCCGCTGTGCAACTAACGGTCCACACACACCACACCCCGTACTGGGCTGGGTTTTAGGCATTGTGGGGTTGGCACTCCCATCGACCCTCATGACCTCCTGCGGTCTCTGAGATGGACACCAGTGGGTGTGGGACCACAGCCAGGATACACTCGAAGGCTGGGTAAGCAGTAGAGGTCGATACTCGACGCGTCCCACATGGTCTGTGTCGCTGTCGGCACGCTGTCGACAGGACGTCGAGGGACACCGGTGGCAGTGCCACCCAGGAGTGGTCGGGCGGTCTCCCGTCATGAGAGAGCCACCATGTGATCCGTATGATGATTCCTCACAACCGCCTCAGTCAACTTTTGTCACAGTTCCCGCTATGAGAGGAGCTGCGGGTCAGTTCGACAGCTGGAGCTGTGTCGCCGGCGTGCGGCGGCCTGCCTCCGGAGGTGCCTCTGAGGTGGACATTTCTTGGTCACCGTGAGAGAACGCGTTCGAATTTTCACTCCGGAACTTCAACTGAGCACGCGCACCGGCCAGGGCTACAATAGTGCCAGTGAGGCGGAGGCGCGAGTCGGAAGGCCGCGACCGTCAAGTGTTCCCTTCGTTTGCCTACAATCGCTGTGAACCCAGCCACGTACGTGATATATCAATGATCAATGCATCCAATCCGGTACAGTTCAAGTTTAAGGGTACTTTCACACACAACTTTCTCTGCTCCCCAGCTCTCGCGATCAATCCGGACCGGCAGACATCCACTGCTTGCGCTGGCATCCATGTACCCCATATGAGAATGAGTCTGCCTCTCCCCCCCCCCGCCCCGCCCCTCTCCCCGTGCGCGGCGCGCTCGGGCATTCGCGCACCGCACACGCCCGTCCTGCGCCCTGGAGGGCCGCCGCCCCCCTCTCCTCTCGCCACCGCCGCGCGCCTCAGAAGGGCATCGGCGCGGGTGGCACGTACCGAGCCGCGAAGTCGGAGTCCGAGCCGGCGCCGCCCTGGCAGCTGCCGCCGCCGACACCGTCGTGCCTCCACGTGGCGCGCTCCTATAGCAGACCGCACAGACGAGCTCACCCTCCCCGTGCCACACGCGCCGGCGCGCTACAGCGACGTCTGCCGTCTGCGCGAGCACACCCGCCACCCGCGCCTTTGATGCGCTCCGCGGCACCAGCGACGCCGCGGCGGGCGGAGCGGCGGCGCCGCCGCCCGCCGCCACCGGCGCTGCGGCGGTGGCCTGCGCAGCCCCGGTCTGCGGCTCGGGCGGCGGCGCAGCGTCGGCGGCCGGCGCCTCTGCTGGCGCGCAGAGGGGCACTTCGTCGTGCGCGATCGCCTATGGGGCGCGGTCGGAGACGGCTGAAAAAGGGACGGGTCCCAAGCTTGCGGAGGGCCGGTCGCCTCGCGCGCCTCGCAGACGTCGATCATCACCTGGTCCGAGAGCTGGTCCATGAAGATGTCGCCGTTGTCGAGCGCGCAGTGCTCGATGAAGAGCCCGATCTCTTGGATCCCGAAGAGGCACCTTGTGAAGAATGCACCCGAGATCACCCGAGATCACCCGAGATCACCCGAGATCACCCGAGATTGCCGAAGAGGCACCACGTGACAAAGGCGGTGACGGGCACCACGAGCAGCCCCATCGAGCCGACCAGCGAGACGGGCAGCGTCAAGCACCACAGCGTGAGGAAGCGGGACGTGTGGCGCGCGTAGTTGAGCGGCACCGGCGTCTGCAGCAGCCGCTCGCATGCGCCGACGTACGAGCCGAGCTGGTTCACCAGCGAGAGCCCCATCAGCCGCTCGCGCGAGGTGAAGGTGCCGTCGGACGCATCTGAGACGCCCGAGATCTCGGCGGCGAGCCGCTTGCACAAGTAGAGCGGGCGCGACGAGGAGGAACGCATCGCGTCGCACAGCGGTGCCGGCAGCGGCGCGAGCGGCGCGAGCAGGCCTTCAGCGGCGGGCCGCGCCTCGCCGCACAAGTGGCGCCGGAGCATCACGGGGAAGGCGGTGAGCAGCTGGGCGAGCCGGTCGACGCGGCACGGCTGGAGCTGGTCGCGGAAGCAGTAGGCGTACCGCGCCAGCTCGCGGCACCGGTTGAGCAGGTTCTCCCAGATGCGACGCGCCTCCCAGAAGCGGTTGTACGCGCTGTTTGTCCGAAAGACGAGGAGCAGAGAGAGGGCGCCGCCGAGCAGCGAATGCATCTGGAAGAGGGCCTTCGACGCCGACTTCCCCGGCACCCCGTCTGCAACCGAGTCAAAGAGCGCGACACCGAGAGACGCAGTCGTCGTGAGCAGCAGCGGCTGCAGGATGCCGCTCAGAACCTGTCCGGTTCGGGCGCGGGCGTGTCGGGAGGCTCTCGTGGAGAGAGTCCCTCGGGTGACGGGCAGGTAGCGCTGGGACTCTACGGCGCACCTCAGAGTGGCGCAGCGTCTTAAGAGACGACAGCCAGATGGACCTGGTTGAATGAAACTGCGCCGTCCATGGGCGAGAGCTCTGGCGGTACCGGTCGGCGTTCGCGTGGCTCCACAAGCGGCCGACAAAGCTCTCGCCAAATGCGCGCCTCCGCAGCAGGACCATGGCCGGGCTGGGTCGTGGCCGTGCCAGCGCGAGCGGCCCGGGTGAGTGGTGGCGCAGGACGTGGGCGGCTGGCGCGTAGGCCAGCGCGTGAGCGGTGAGGAGTGCACAGAATGAGAGCACCATTCGAAGAACAGGGGGGCACTCGGCAGAGTCCGCGGCGTGCGAGCGACTGTCCTTTTTGATTTGCATCCCAGCTGCATCAGGCGGAATGTCCGGGAGCCCTTTGTCTTTCTTTTTTGTATCCCCGGCCAATCTTTCGTACACGGGGCACAGGGCCTGCGCTCGGCGGCGCACCCACTCCCTGTTGTCACTGCTGACGTGCTGAGGCCCTCCACATGCACATGAAAAACAAACTGGTATTGCACATGCACATGCACATGCACAAGAAAGCTCATGCACATGTGCTCTCTCTCTCATGTGCATGTGCATGTCAAATGCACAACAACAACACAACAACAACAACAACATGCAAACAAACACAACAACTATTGCTAAAAATCTCTCTCTCAACATGCACATGCTCATGCACATGCATGCACATGTTCATTTCATGTTCATGTCATGTCATGTTCATGTGCATGTCGAGGGGCCTACAAAACAAAAACAAACCTGTCTAGGAGTCCCGAGATTCCGGAAACCAAAAAGGAAACCAGAGGGTCCCCAGCACTTTGAGTTTCCGGAAGTTTCCAGGGAAACCAGAGGGTGTTTGGTGCTCCAACTGTTTCTCTCAAGGGCTCAGCAACCTTAGGTTAGGGGCCGCCCTTGGTTGGCCGTCTAGGGTCTGTCGTCTACGACTGTTTGCGTGCCGCTCGAGGGGGGCACGAATAGGATTGTAGGGCGGAGTTTGAGGCACTTGGAGCACTTACTTGGAGTGCAGTCATTAACCTCACATCCAAATTGAGATTTGCCACTTATGAGATCTATCTCTCTCACATCCTTGGCCGCTTTGTGTGTCTCGAGACCTCGAGAGAAGGCCGCCCGAGGGCCCAAGTCAAGAATTGACTTTTTTGGGCGGGCAACTCACATCCAGGGCCGGGGAGCTAAGAAGCACACCCAGCGGGCCGGATGATCGATATCGGGTTGCGGGCAAGAGAGCCCTAGCCCTGGGGGGTGCGCGTTCGCAGGGAAAGGGCCGTAAACACGGGTCACCGAGGGTTAGTCGGCGCTTTGGGTTCCCCTAGCGCCGGAGCGCCCTCTCTCAACGGAGGTAAACCCACCAGACGCGCACACGACGGTACGACGGTACTCCTCACTCGACGTCGACGCTCAGGGACGACGAGGTGCCAGCGCTGCCGTGGAGGGGCCCGGGCAGCTCCAGCGAGGAGAAGCACGCCTCAACGCGAAGGCATGGAGCCTTTTCGGGCACAGGGCCTGCTCGCGCCATATGTTCGACTTTGGTGCGTGTCAAACGCACTTCGCATCGCGTCTGGCACTTCCGCCGCCACGGCGCTTGGCGACGCGCTGGCTGGGCAGCCGACTGCGGTGCTGCTCGGGCTCCTAACGCTCCTCGGCCTGTTTCCCACCTCCCCGCCCCTCCTCGCGACCACGCTGCTCGCTCGCGCTGTGTCCAACTTAGCCAAGGGTGCAGCGCTGGGGAACTCGCAGACGTGGGGCACTCTCACTGACCTCAGCCTCCTCGGCGCGCTATGTGAGACCCTGGCTCTCAGAGGACGCTGGCTGCCGCCGCTCTCTGCTGAGGAGGAGGCGGCCATCGTCAGGTCCTGCGCACCCGCGGTCCGTGTGCAGCTCGCAACTGTTTACGCCGCTTCCGCCCTCTGGAAGCTGAATTCGTCGTTTGCCGAGCCGCGCCGCTCCTGTGCAGCCGTGTTTGCATTACAGATGCTCGAGCACCTACCACCCGCCGTCACAGCGACGCCACTGCCCGCGCTGATGGCCGCCGCTGCACCCGCCCTTGTGCTGCTCGTGGAGACCGCCATCCCGGCGCTGCTGCTGGCTCCCTGCTGCTGGGCTGGCGTGTCGAGCGCGCTCAGCTTCCACCTCGCCATCGCCGCCTGTCCGCCGCCGAACAACATCGCGAGCTTTGGAGCCACAACCGTGCCCCGCCTCTTCTTTTGGATCCCGGAGGAGGCCGCCGCCGCCCTGAGGGAAGCGGCTGGGCCGCGTCCTCTCGCCGCCGTCGCCATGGCCGCCGCAGCTGCCATCGCCACGACACTGGCTCCGCTGCACTCCCGCGCGCGCTCCACCATCCAGGGCAGCGGCCACGACTGGCATCTCTGCTTCCTGGTCTGGCTGGCGGTGCCGCTCGCCGCCGCAGCGCTAGTCTCCTCGCGCTCGGCGCGCGCCTGCAGTGGTCAGCCGCCGGCGCCGGCCGACCCTCCTGCAGCAGTCAGCCGGGGAGGGCGGTGGTGGAGGCGGGCCCTGGTGGGCGGCACGGGCGCCTACGCCTTTCTGCTTCCGGCGCTGGGCCTGCAGGAGCGGGGCGGCTGCCTGATGTTTTCGCAGCTGCGGCTGCACGGCGGATCGAATCACCTGCTCGGCGCTCCGACTGGGCTGCTGCAGCGCGTGCTGATCGACGCGCCGCCGGAGAACGCCTTTGCCGGCGGCGTCGTCCGCGTGGAGAGCACGTCGCTCCACTGGGTGCACAACACTTTTGCAGAGCATTTCGCCCCGCACCAGCTGGCGCTGCTCCGCGCCGGCGGCTTCGACGGCGGCTTCTTCCCAACCTCCAAGGCGACGAAGCGAGAGCTCGCGTCGCCCGAGGGGCCACTCCCGCGCGCGGTCCGCTTCACCCTGCACAACCTCGGGTTCCGCCGGCTGCTAGCCGACGCCGAGGCCCGCAATGACACCTTCTCTCTCACCTACACGCGGCTCAGGGCGACGAAAGGTGGAGGCGGGCGGGCCGGGGTGAAAGACACACCTTGCGGGCGAGGCGCGGCCGGCTCCGCTGCCGCACCTGCGACGCGCGCGAATTCGCTCTGCTCGCCCCGCCGCCCCAGCGCCACTGGTCGTCGCTTGCTGCCTTCTGTCTCGCCCCCCAGCCAATCCCGATTGTCGAGGGCGACGAGCTCGACGAGCTTCACTGCGTGAGCTTTGGGTGATAGAGCGGAGAAGAAAAATCGCGTGATACCTAATACGGCTTTATGTACTACCGCGTACCGGAGGTGTAAAGCCAAAAGCGTACCGTAAATTACTCTAGGCGTTAAAGGGTATAAAGCCGTCATAGTTTTGTCGAGCTCTGTCTGCGCGCGATAGGAAAACACGCAAGTATTTGTCTCATGTCTGCGCGCGCGAAAGCCGAAAACAATCTCTTGAGCACAGGCACATCTCCGGAGGGGAGATACCAGATGAGAATCCCTGGGGGAAAGAGTGCTGCACGCGCACACACGGACAGCCGGGCGCTCAACCCACCGCCCTGGTCTGCAGCCCGTGCCCAAACGGAAAGAGGGGCCCCTTTAGCCGCGCCGCGGCCGCAGCCTGGTCCATCGCGTGCGGCCACGAGAAGGAGAGCCGCCCCGTGGCTGGCGCCCTGCCGAAGAGCACGTCTGCCACCCCGTCGCCCTCGGTGCCGGGCAGCCACGCGACGAGAACGGCGGCGACGCGGGAGAGGAGCGGCGGCGGAAGGAGGAGCGGCCGGCCCGTCACGAGCAGCAGCACCACGGCCCACCCGGCGTCAGCGAGGGCGACGGCGGCGCGAACGTCTGCGGGCGGCAGCCGAAGCTCCTCGACGTCGCCAAACCCCTCTGCGTACGGCGCCTCGCCCGTCACCACCACCGCCACAGGCCGTGAGGCGGCGCCGGCCGAGGGCGCCTGAGGGAAGGATAGGGGAGCGTGGGCCAGCAGCCAGGCCAACCCGTCCACATCCTGAGGCAGGCAGGTGGTCAGCCGCAGTCGAGGTGCAGGGCCCGGTGCGCACGTCGCAGCGTGGGAGTGCCCGCCGCGCGCGCGTGAGCGTGTGCGCGTGCGTGAGCGTGAGCGTGTGCGCGTGCGTACGCTTGTGTGTGCGTGCGTGTCCGTGTGCGTGCGTGTCCGTGTGCGGTCCGTCCGTCCGTTGCCTGCCGTCCAGCGGCGCGGCCACTCACGAGCCTGGCACCCGGCTGGACGGCGCGGATGGCGTCGGCGATGGTGGTGCCCGTGGTGAAGGCGTTGCCCTCGCAGCCCTGCCACTCGAGCGACCAGCCACCGCACTGGCGGCCGAGGCTGTCGGCGGCGATGCCTGTGACCAGCAGCTCCGCGGCGGGCCGGCCTCCCTCTCCGGCCGGCAGCGGGAGGAGCCCGCCCTCGTTGACCAGCAGCACGCAAGACTTGGCCACCGCGCGCCTCGCAGCCGCGCGGTGCGCCTCGCAGCCGACGCAAGCCGCATCGCCCATCGGAGGCACGGCCGCGTCAAACAGCGGACAGCGCGAGGCGGCGGCGGCAGCGTCGCCTCCGGCTGGAGTCGAGGCGGCGGCGCGGCGCAGCAGGCCGCAGGCGACCTTGACACGCAGCACGCGCCTCACCGCGTCGTCCACACGCTCGGCCGGCACGTCGCCCCGCCCCACCGCCGCCTCGAGCTCCTCGAGCTGCCTCCGCCACGTCAGGTCGCCAAAAAGCCTGAGGGACGTGTCGTGGACGTGTCAGGCGGCACGCCCGGTCAGCGGGCGTGGCGGGAGAGCGGCGGTGCACAAAGAGAGAGAGGGAGAGAAGGACATGTCTCGGACGTGTCGCGCGCCCGCCCGCCGTCATGACGACGTCCACGCCCGCGTTGACCACCTTGCAGACAGCGGCGGAGTACGAGCCGCCGCACTGCTGCACGGCGTTGTAATCCGACACGACGACGCCTGAAGAGGAACGCAGTGAGTGAAGGAGGAGAAAGCTGGGCCGCGCGGACCGCTCCTCCGACCCGACGACGCCTCGGAAGCCGAGCTCCTCCTTGAGAAGGCCGGTGACGAGTGCGCGGCTCGCGTGGCACTTGACGCCGTTGAGCGACGAGTACGACACCATCACCGTCAGCACCTGGGAAGGGCCGCGATCGACGGCTCAGGGAGGGGCTCCCCGGGGAGGAGGGGGCCGCCAGCGCCGTCCGCACCCCCTCGGCCAGCGCCGGCAGGTACGGAGCGACGTGTGTGGCGCGCAGCTCCGCGTCGTCGCAGTCGGCGTTGCCCTGGTCCAGGCCAAACGACTTGACCGCCTACAGGAAGGTCCAGGAAAGGTCCAGGAAAGGTCCAGGAAAGGTCCAGGCCAAACGAGTTGACCGCCTTGCCGATCCCTCCCATGTCGAACTTGCCCGTGCCCAGCGCGGTGCCGCCGTCGGCGACCCAGTGCTTTGCGCACGCCGCCATCGGCAGGCCGCACCGCTGGATGCCGCGCACCTCCGCCGCGCTGAGCCGGCCGCACAGTGCGGGGTCTTCGGAGAAGCTCTCATAGGTCCTGCCCCAGCGCAAGTCGAGAGCGACCGCGGCGCACGGCGAGAAGATCCAGTTGATGCCGCACGCGGCCGACTCGCGCGCCGCGAGCGCGCCGAGCTCCTCCACCAAGCCCTCGTCCCGCATGCAGCCCTGCCCGATGTGGTGCGGGAACAGGGTCGCGTCGCGAAGGTTCGCCTGCCTGAGCAGAGGACGGAGGGTGTCACGCACATCCTAGTGCACGCACCGCGTCTACAGCCGAGGCGTGGCATCTAGGCAGCACCGCGTCTACAGCCGAGGCGTGGCATCTAGGCAGCACCGCGTCTACAGCCGAGGCGTGGCACATCCTAGGACACGCACCGCGTCTACAGCCGAGGCGTGGCATCTAGGCATCTAGGCATCTAGGCAGGCTTGCCCATGCACGGAGTCGTTGCAGACGAGCAGCGGCAAGCCCGACGACGCGCGCAGCGCCGCGCGCTGCATGGCAGCGGCCTGAGCCTGCCACGCCAAGGGCTCATTTGGCGTCGGGCATGCGCCCCCGCCTCCGAGGACGGAGCCGAGGCAATGCCTGCCCACGGAGCGGTCGCACTGCTCGTCGGTCAGAGGCGCGTTGAGCGCGCGCTTCACCGCCGACCCGGCCCACGCGGGGAGGACGGCGGCGCCTGCCTCGGACAGCTTCGGCGCCGACCGGAACGTGCGCCAGTCGGGCTGCATCATCTGGCCCAGCTTCTCGCGCAGGGTGAGCCGCGCGAGAATCTCCTCGATGAGGGCCTCGTCGTCGGCGGAGGTCAGCGGCGACGCCATATATATGTGTTTATGCGGGTCCGTGGATCGATCACACGGCGTACAACTGTATGTTCGCAGCACAAAGAAGAAAAGAACCAGCGGACTGCTCCTGCAGGTGTGGACCTTGTCCTCCTCCCATCTGTTTTATTTCTTTATTTCAGTGTGAATGTGAAGTATTCTTGATGCGCCGGCTAACGGTCGCCGCCCCCACCCCCTTCCGACCGCGAGTTTTCACGGAGGAGGGTCGAAGCGCAACGCCGTTAAGGTGGCAGTCCGGGTTCTGTGAAGAGGGTCGCTGGTCGAATGCGAGCCAGTTCGCTCGCGACGCCGACGCCGACGCCGCCGCCGGAACGACCGCGGCGGCCGGTCGAGCGGCCGCCCCGGCCAGCGGCCGTATCGAGCCTGCCCGTCGCGAAGGTGCGGACCTCACGCGCCCCACCGGCCGCCCGCGCCGCCGCGCCCACGTCGCTCTCTCGAAGCCCAGCGCCACGCCGCTACGACTCCCATCGCGACGACTCCCGTGCTCGCTCGTGGCGCAGGCGATCGACTCCTGACACCCATCGAGCGGATGGGCGCGTTCCCGCCGCGACCCGGTACTCTCGAACGACTTTTGAGGGCAAAAGGTGCCGCCCGAGCCCATTCCCGCCGCCCGCCGCCCGAGATCAGCTGCCACCGGCCAGCGCGCGCGCGGAGACCTGCCGCGAGCGCCTCCGTGGCCCTAGCTGGGGTGATTAGCAAGCGCCTCGGCACTTTAGAATCGCCCCTCGGGCTTTTCCGCGCGCGTGATCAGTCTCGCGTTCTCTCCTTTTTCAGGCGCCTGTTTTCGGCCTCTGAAGAGCAACCGTCGAGGCGTCGATGCTCGCCTCCACGCCCGCGCCAGACCTCCGCGATTGGGGCGCCTTGTCGACGGGATCAATTGTGATTCCGGGCGTATTTTTCTGGTATCTTACTCGCACGTCGGCGACTCTTAGTCGCTTCTCCGTGCTAGGAGGCCTCAGTTTTGTGTCCGTGAGGACTAGATCGAAACTAACATTCGGGAACATTTCAGTAAGATATCAGAAAAATGCGCGTTCGTTCACAATTCATGTGTATATGAACGGTGCCGACGGGTTTGGCGAGCATCGAAGCCGTCCAGGCGCAGCAACGCGACGGTTTCGGAGGCCGACGGCTCCGAAAGAGCCTCCCGAGCGAGGCGGCGCGGTCACGGTACCGTGGAGGCCACAGACGTCGCCGGAGCGGCACTCCCGGGGCGCCACTCCCTCACCCGGTCAGGGGGGGCCAACCACAGCCCGCCTCACCGTCCGTGGAGCTTCCGTGGTCCGCCGCTTCGGCTTCGATTTTCGACCCTCCCGAGGCTGCTATAGCAGCCCCGCGGAGCCTCCCGGATGCATCGGCACACCGTCGTCCAGAACGCCGGCGCACGCGCTGCCCAGTGACTGGGCGGGTCGGCCCCGACTAGGGGCGGGCCCAGCCGCGCGGAGAAGACCATCCCACTCGCGGTTCGTCGCACCGTCCGCTCCAGTTTTCGTCTCGAGCGGGTCGTGAGACGGCCGCGAGAGCGAGCACCGCGGTCACGGTACCTTGGAGGCCACAGACGTCGCCGGAGCGGCACTCCCGGGGCGCCACTCCCTCACCCGGTCAGAGGGGGCCAACCACAGTCCGCCTCACCGTCCGTGGAGCTTCCGTGGTCCGCCGCTCCGGCTTCGATTTTCGACCCTCCCGAGGCTGCTAGAGCAGCCCCGCGGAGCCTCCCGGATGCATCGGCACACCGTCGTCCAGGATGACGGCGCACGCGCTGCCCAGTGACTGGGCGGGTCTGCCCCGACTAGGGGCGGGCCCAGCCGCGCGGAGAAGGCCAGCGAGCTCGAAACACGTCGCCGCGGCCGGCCGTTTCGCAAGCCTGAGCGGGTCGCCAGACACCCGCGAGAGCCAGCAGCTAGAGCGCCGTCGTAGCCGCAGATCGAGTCGAGGAGCTTGATGTCCACGGTAGCAGTTGTGGAGAGCGGTGGCACGGTGCGTGTAGACGCGTCGATTGAGGGCTCCCTTTTGAAACGCGACGGGTACGGCTTGACAACTGCCAGCACAGTTTTACGCCGGCCAGCGTGAGAGCACAACAGGGAGCCGGCGACCCGTACGCTTTGCGCGTGGCGACTGGTGGCTGTCTGGAGCTCGTGTGAGCTGGGCCGACGCGTGGCCGAGCCGAGAGGACCAGCGAGCGACCACGTTGGCGATGAAGCTTGGCGGCCGGCGCCTCGTCGCCAGACGTCACAGCGGCGTGGATGTAGGAGTGTGCGGCGACGGTTACCGGCAAATCCGGCCCAGTGTGGCCGGCAGCTGCCTAGCGCTGGCCTGTGGCCGGCGCCGCGGTGGCGGAGAAGGCGTCTCGCCGCCGTGGCGGCGGTCGGCAGGTGCGAGCGTGATGCCATCTTGCGGGACGACACCCGTCTCGCAAAACCCGGACTGCCACCTTAATGAGAGTCCTGCGCCGTTAATGAGAGTCGAAACGTCCTGCCCGCCGCGCCGACTAGACGGGCAGAATGATGTCGCTCCTCGCGAGGGCCCTGGTCTCGGGCTCGCTGCCGCCAATCTACGTGCAGCGCAATGGCGGACATTCGGGCAGCAACTGGGCCTCTGAGCTTCTGGCCACCAAAGGGTGGTCCGTCTATTTCCAATTCGGAGGCCTAGGAGCTTCTGTGATGCGAGGCACCCCGGGTTCCTCCTGCGGAGTCGTGCGTGCGCGGGGCTCCTCTTTGCGAATGCTCCCTACAAACATCTCGTACCCGTTCTACCAGAGAACACCCCACATAACACGAGGATTCGACGCGCGTCCCGAAGAAGTGTTTTTTCGCGCCGTGTCGGTGTGTGTGCAGTCCTGCAGTCTGTGTGGTGAGGTCTTCGACTTTTCGTGACCCCGTCGCTCTCCAGAAATCGCATGGCTATCGTAAACCGGAAAAGAACCAGTGGTTTTCCCCTCCAAGTGTGCGCCCCCCTCCAACGTCCAAGTGCCCCCCTCTCGATAGTGTTTCCCCCCCAACATTTTCCGGTTTTTCTCCGTGACCGTGTGTGCACTTCCTGCAGTCCGTGTGGGACTTTTTCGTGACCCCGTCGATCTCCAGAAAATAATCGCACAGGCACAATGCAACCACATATCTCCAGTGCATCTGCCAGATCGAGGGCGTGTCCGTGCTCCGTGTGGTGTGTGTATAAATAGTGCGTCTGGTGTGACTGGCGTATGGCTTCTGTGCCAAGTCTGACGCCCACAAAATAAGGCCTGCGGTCGCGAAAGCCCACTCGCCAACGCACGGCCAGGATTTGATTGCTGCGGCAGCTGTGTAGTCCCCGCTGAGAGTTGGAGAGACCCGAGATAAATACCAGACGAAGATGCAACCATGAGGACAGCAATGCACGCGAGAACTCGACGCTGTTCAGCTACGCGGCCTCGGCCTCGACGGCCTCGTCGTCCGGCGCCTCCGCCGACCCGCCCTCCTGCGCCTCGTCCGTCTGCTCAGCCGCGGCCTCCGTCCCCGTCGCGTCCTCCGCGGCGTCGGCAGCCTTCTCAGAGGCCTCCTTGGAGGAATCCGTGGCCAGCTCATCCCTGGCCGACTCTGTCTTGGCTGAATCGCCCTGCTCCGCGAGCCAAGCCGCGTAAGCTTCGGGATTCAGCTTGTGCGGGTTGCCTGCTGTCGCCGTGCAACCGTACAACGACAGCTCGCAGAGGTAGTCGCGCAAATAGATGGAGGCGCCATCGCGCGGCACGCAGCCCATGTGGCGAAGGCTGAAGGCGCACGCGGCCTCGGTGGCCTCGGTGGCTGCGAGAGGCACTGCCACCAGCAAGGCGGCCATGTGTGTGATAGAAGTGAGGTTTGTGCAGGCTCGCTTCGTCACACACAAAAAAGTGGCGTGAAACGGAAAGATCGTGTGTCAGTGGAAAACCACTTCACAGCTGTATGCCTTGCTCCTTTAGGTGCTCTTAGTATGTTCTTGAACTCACCCGTCCCTGACTGCCTGAGTACACTCCCTTCGTATTGTCTTGTACTCGGCGTCCTGTGGGTGTGTTCACAGTCTTGTGTGAATTTCGGCGCCGCCGAAATTCAAGGTCCGTCGGTCTCTTTTGACCGCGGCGTTAGAGAGAGCTTTGCTACATGTTGCCTTTTGTCTTCTCTCTGGCGCTCCCGCTCTTGGCCGGTGTGAATACACCGACATGGAGCCTTCGTGAGGCGGACGAATCCCCCGACCTTCGTACCCTCGAGGCCGCCGAGACGCTCTACCTCGGCGCACGGCCCGTGGATGGACCTGTGGAGCCTCCAGCAAAAGCTGCACCCCCTTGGTGGATGCTCTGCTCCTGGACCGGCGCGCCGCGATCACCCGATCCGGCTGCCGCCGGCGTCGCCGCTTGCAACCTTGACGACCGCTACCAAAAGTTCGCCGCCGCCGCCGCCGCCGCCGCCGGCTCGGCTCGTCTCGTCTCGTCTTGTCGCAGGCGCACACGCGCGCGTCCGCGTCGCTCCGCGATCGCGAAGCCGAGTTCGAACCATGGACCGCAGAGCCGGTGAGCTCAGCCAAAACAGCCCCGACCAACATCTCCTACGCCATGCTGACCCAACGAGTCATATGGGTCAAGCCCGATGGGCAGCGCGCTCAAGACACACTTACGTTTGCAAGTTTCCGAGATCAATATGCGGCGCTGAGATACACTCGAAGATACACTCGAAGATACACTTCGAAGATACACCGGAGAAATGTTATAATGTTGTATCTTTGAAATGTATAGTCAAGTGTATCTTTGGCTGTCACTCGAACTTTGGACAACGGAATGGCCCAAAGAGGGGGTCGAGGAAATGAATGTACCCCGATGATCAGGCTGACGAGGGGGCGACCGAGCCTTTCTGCATCACTACACTGGAAGCAGTGAATGTGGATGTCGAGCAAGCAGACTGCTCTACCAGTGACCCCCTCTACTCTTCGTGGGAACCCTACCCTGAGGCTTACAGCCCAGGACCAGCTTCCGACGACGAGGAGGCGCTACCGACCCTCGAGCCTGTTGAGCAACCGCTCACACCCATCGTGGTGAACCACCCAGCCTGGTACGGACTGGCCACCCTGCCTTTTGCGAGCCTGCCTTTGGCAGGATGCAGTTGCAGCCCATCAACAAAACTTGGGCAGCAGTTGCAAAGCTGTTTCATCCCTTATAGTTGCAGCCTCTCAGTTGCACCCTGTTGATGTAGCACAACCTGAGCACAACCAGTATACTCTCTGTGGACATTTGAGGACATCAAGTGCCGGGAGTCATTGCCACTGTGCACAAAGGTGCTGTGCAGGCGCAGCACCGCAGCAGCGTCGCCGCTGCAGCGTCGTCGCCCCTGCAGCGCCACCGGCGCACAAAGCGCAACTGACCACAGCGCTCCTTTCACAAGGCTGGTGCCATGAGTCAGTGGACATTGCCACTGCACAAGGTGCTGTCCAGCAGCTAAGGGCTACAGTACCCCAGCGCAGCAGCGTCGCCGCCGCTGCAGCGTCGCCGTTGCAGCCGAGCGTCGCCAGTGCACAAAGCGCAATGGACCACAGGTCTGCACTCATGGCACAAGCTCACTGGTGTGAGGATTCATTGCCACTGTACAAGGTGCTGTGCAGCACCTGAGGGCTACCTGAGTACTGCCATGTTTGCTACATCAACAGGGGTGCAAGCAACTGAGCCGCAACTTGACCTAGAACTTTTGAGAGGCTGCAACTGAGGGATAAAAGTACTGCCAGCCAAGTATTGCTGCTGCAACCCTGATTTTCTAACTCTGTGACTCCAAATGGGTCTACGTCTCTGCTGTGTTAGATCATCAGAGGTGTCGAGCGGTGACCGGTGTCGAGCGGTTGTCGAGCGGTGTCGAGCGGTGTCGAGCGGTGTCGAGCGGTGTCGAGGTGTCGAGTTTGGCACCTTGACACGGACGAGCGTGGTACCAGCCTAGATGGTGTCGAGGGGTGTCGAGGGGTGTCGAGGGTGTCGAGTTGGCATGGGGTGTCGAGGTGTCGAGTTGGTGTCGAGGTTTGGTGTCGAGGTGTCGAGGCCAGGGCTCAGACTTTCTTAATGCCCGCAACAGACTGTATGTTGTTGGCAAACCAAGACACAGAGCTCACACAGGATCACAGCGGGAGGAAAGCGGCGAGTCGCAATTCCAGGGGTCGTTGTGGCGGGCCACCCTGTCCAGAAAGCATGGATGCCAATCTGGGGTCTCTCGACCGAGTCTGATTTCGCCTCGCCGCACGCCGCCTCCCGATGGTGGTAAGGCTGGAGAGCCAAACAAAGCGGCGGAGATGGCGGGGGAGGGCGGGGGATCGAGGAAAGCACGTATAGGTTGGTTCCCATAGGAGGTCTGGGAGGTAGGTAGGTAGAAAGATGAAGAACAGCCAGGCTCGGACTGGACACCAACGCGGTATGGGTGGACGCTAGACAGATGATGACGACACGCACGAGCGACACACAGACACAAACAGGCTCACAAGACACACAGCCAGGAAAGACAAAATAAAAGAAAAACGTCCGCAAAACAGCCGAGAGGATCTTGGCGGTGCTTCTCAACTGGAATGATACCGCCGAGTGCCGTCGTGGTGCTGCTCTTCCTTTCCCCTTCTGCCGCGCTCTACCCGTCAGCGCGGGCACCGTCCTCCACCGCCCAGCTCCCTGCAGGGTCAAAAACAAACCAGCCCTTCTCCCTCACCACCGAGGCCAGCGCGGTCTGCATCACCGAGCGGTGCCGAAAGGGGAGCAGACCGGCTGTCTCCCTCTCCGACTTTCTCAAGACGCAGTCCCCTTCATCGCTCGCAAAGGGCCTGCAGAAGCTCAACCCGTCCATCCAGGCGGCCGCCGGGGAGGAAAAGGAAGTGCTGCTGGTCGAGTTCGAGCCGTGCATTTTCCTGGGACCGCGGGCGTTGAACCTGTGGGCCAAGCCCAAGATGGTTCTCTGGCTGCGGCGAAAGGGGTCCTCCCTCGTCTGCGAGGGGCACGTGCTCGGCGCGGCGGCGGCGGACAACCACCCCGTGCTCGTGTCGGCGCTGGACATGAAGGCGAGGCTCACCGCTTCAGAGGCGCCTCCGACCAGAACCTCAAAAGCAGCCGCGGACACGCCTCTAGCACTGTAGCACCTCTCCACACTTGCTCCAGGCGCCTCTCCACCACCTCGAGGGCGACTCGGTCCCCTGCCTGCAGCTCCTCTCCTCGCTCCACATCGAGGCCGACTTCACCGGCGCGTCGGGCTGGCGGCGCTGGCTGCCGCACTCGCTGCTGCTCAAGCTCGCTTCGCGCCGGCTCGCCGTCGAGTTCCGGGCTCTGCAGCAGCAGGTCGCCTCGTGCCTGGTCGCCGAGTACCAGGCGGCGCGACGCCACAGCAGTCCCGCTCCACAGCCCACCTTTTCTTTCCGACGAGGCACACCCGTGTGTGTCTCTCGTATTTAGGCGGCGCAACAGGCGGCGCTCGCGACGGCGCAGTGAGGCGCCCCTCCCGCGCGCCTCTGCCGCCTCTGCCGCCTCCCTCGCCTGGCGCTTGGGAGAGCCCCTCGAGACCCCCCCCCCACCACCACCACCACTTTCTTCCCACCCTCTGTTGCGCCGTCGGCCCTCGTTCATGTGGGCACGTGCCCTAGTCCCCCCCCCGTACCGCGTGTGTGTATCTTCTTGTCTTGTTGTGGTGCCCGCGTAGTGGATGGGCCTACACCCTCCTGTCTTCCGACATGTGTCGCTGTCTCCGCATGATTCTGCCCGACGCGTCGGTGTCTTCGCAGAGATCTACGCTGCCCCACTACCCACTTTTCGTAGGACGATTGCCGCGGCTCTCGCAAGAAGGCGGCTGTGGCTCCACTCCGCTGGTCCTTTCGGCCGTCACGCCTCGTACCAGGCCCAGCCAGCATACGGTTCTGTGATCACCGTCAACCCGGTCCCTGTCCCGCCCGTGGCTGCCATTTTAGAATAAACGGAAAAACGAAATCCGCGGAGGCAGCGCGGTCCGCGCCCCGGACCATCAGGCATCAGCATCACCGAGACGCTGAGTCCTGAGACAGACACAGCTAACAGGACAGTCGACCACGAGGACACACTCAAGGGCGAAGGGGCGGGGTAAATGGTAACAACCCGCCATCGGCTGGCTCACCTCTTCTTCTTTTGCTTGCGCCGCGCCTGCTGGTCAATCATGCGCTGCAGCTCCGGCTCGGCGGACGCATCCTCCGCCTCTCCCTCGGCTGACCGCTTGCCCTTGCCGCCGCCCTTGCCCTTGCCGCGGCTGTCGCCGGCGCGCATCTCCATGGCGGCGTGGCGCTGCGCCTCGGACACTCGCTCGAGGAGCAGCAGCACCTGAGGCGAGGTCGGGAGAGGTGAGCCGCTGCACGTCGCTGAGACAGGAGCCCCGCGGCATTCGAGAGTGCAAGGCCCGCTGCGTGAAGGAGAGCGGTGTGTGGCCGTGATGGTGTGGTGGCGGCGGCGGCGGTGTTGCCTGGGGGCAGTGGACTGTGTGTGTTTGTGTCTGTGTCCGTGTCCGCGCCTGGTCATGCAGCGCCTTGTCTCGGGCCAGCTCGGTCCCATCTTCCATTTCCAATTCTCCTCTCGGCTCCTCTCGGCTCCTCTCGGCTCCTCTCGGCTCCTCTCGGCTCCTCTCGCCTACCCTCGGGTGCTCTCTCGGGTACTCTCGGGTGCTCTCGGCTCTTCTCGGCGGAGTCCGCGCCTCGTCCTGCGGCGCGTCAAACTCTCCCAGCCTCTGGCCAATCATCTGCTCGATGCGCTGGTAGAGCTCGACGTCGTACTGCGTGACGATGGTGATGGCGCGGCCGGCGCGCCTAATCTCGGGTCATCTCGGGTCATCTCGGGTCATCTCCACCGTTGAGGGTGAGTAGCGCATCTTGGATGATCTCGGGGAGATCTCGGCGCGATCTCGGCGCGATCTCGGGGAGATCTCGGCGCGATCTCGGGGAGATCTCGGGGAGATCTCGGCGCGATCTCGGGGAGATCTCGGGGAGATCTCGGCGCGATCTCGCCCTGCGCGCGCGGTGCGGCCCACGCGGTGGATGTAGTCCTTGGAGTTTGCGGGCAGGTCGTAGTTGAGGACCTAGTTGACCGTCACTACATGTGTCCCGCCCCCTCTTGTCTAGGAAGTGTCTACGAAGTGTCTATAGGAAGACGGTGTCCCGCCTCCTCTCAGAGCTGCGGACCAGGTCGACCGACGGGATGCCGAGGAGGTGTCTAGGAGGTGTCGAGGAGGGTGTCGAGGAGGTGTCCAGGAGGTGTCTTGGAGGGTGTCTGGGAGGTGTCTTGGGAGGGTGTCTGGGAGGTGTCTTGGGAGGGTGTCGAGGAGGTGTCTAGGAGGGTGTCTAGGAGGTGTCGAGAGGGTGTCTAGGAGGGTGTCTAGCTGCGGACCAGGTCGACCGACGGGATGTCGAGTCCGCGCGCGGCGACGTCAGTCGCGATGAGGATAGAGCGCTCTCCCGCCTGGGGGGGGAGAGAGAGGGGCGCTGTGTCATGGAGAGGCGGCCGAGGCGGCGAGGCTGACACCGAGCGCCCGCCCGCCTTGAACTTGTTGAGAGCGGCGAGCCGCTTGGGCTGCGGCAGCTGCGGCCGGGCGGGCGGGGGCGGGGCGTCACAGCAACGTGTTGGCTCTATGCGGCGTGAACTCGCTCGTGCACAGCTTGAGGCGGCACAAGCTAGCCTCCTTCCTCGCAAGAAGCGTCTCGGAGGTCTCGCAGGTGTCTCGGAGGTGTCTCGCAAGTGTCTCGCAGGTGTCTCGGAGGTGTCTCGCAGGTGTCTCGGAAGTGTCTCGGAGGTGTCTAGGAGGTGTCTCGGAGGTGTCTCGGAGGTGTCTCGTCCCGCGCCTGGCCGTGCAGCGGCACGGCGCCGAAGCCAAGCGCGCGCAGGGCGAGGGCGAGGCGCTGCGCGTTGGCGCAGGTGGACACGAACACGATCGCCGTGTTGCCCGCCAGCTCGTTCAGGACGAAGGCGAGGTAGACGTCCTTGAGCTTTGACGGCACGAAGAGGTACTGCTGGAGCAGCGTGCGCACCGTCTTGTACTTTGACGAAACCTCCACCTGAGGACACGGAGGGGTGGGGAGAGATGGGGGGGGGTGACGACATCTCTACCTGAGGACACAGAGACTGCGGCTGTAGCGCGGTAGGAGTAGCGCCGTGTGCGCGTGTCGCCTCGGGCGCCGGTTCGGAGGGCGGGGACCAGCCTTCTGCATAGGCCTCGAGATCTGGGGCGATCTGGGGGGGTGTGGGGAGGTAGGGATCTGCCTCCCACCTTGACCGGGTTCGTCAGCGAGGCGCGCTGCAGCTTCTTGACCTGTTCACAGCTAGAGGTATGAAGAGACGCCGTTCACACCCTTCGGGTTCGTCAGCGCTGCGGCTTGACCTTTGAGGTCATCGTCGCGGAGAAGAGGAGGGTGTTCCGCTCGCGCGGGATGGCGTGGACGATCGTGTCCAGCTCCTTCTCAAAGTCCATCGCCAGAAGCTTGTCCGCCTCGTCCAGCACCAGGTACCGCACACCCTTCACCGAGAAGCCGCGCGTGTTTTGCAGGTGGTCGACCAGCCGGCCGGGCGTGCCGACGACGAGGTGCGGCCGCTTGGCGAGCAGGATCGCCTGCTGCACCATGTCGACCCCGCCCACCACCACCGCAACCTTGACGCCGATCATCGAGCCGAGCGCCTCGAGCTGCTCTCCGATCTGCAGCGCCAGCTCACGCGTCGGCGAGATGATGAGGCCAAAGAGCGGCTGGGGCGCGTCGAGCAGCCGGTTGAGCACGGGCAGGCCAAAGGCGGCCGTCTTCCCCGAACCCGTCTCCGCGAGGCCAATGACGTCGCGGCCGGCGAGCGCCCACGGGATCGCCTCGCACTGGATGGCGGTCGGCGCCTTGAAGTTCATCTTTTGGCAAGCGTCGCAGAGCGGGTCCGCCAGGCCGAGCTCCTTGAAGGTCTTGGGGGCCGCCGCGGCAATTTGGCTGCCAGATTCGCCCTCGCTGTCGGACATGAACTCTCCTGACAAACGACTGGGCACGCAGTCGGTAGGGTTCGACTATTTTCGGAGTGTGGTATGGTGTGCGAGCGAGCGAGGGAGGGAGCGAGCGCAGCCCATCACGAGCGTGCGTCTCTGTTCGTTAAAATGAACTCTGGGGTACGGGACGCGGCACAAACGGGGCGCAAACGCCGGGCTACAAACACGGGGAGGCAAAAGAAAGAAACAAAACAGCCAACAAGGGAGGGATGAGAGGACGGCACGCCGCCACATGCGGGTAATTTTTTTCTTTGCCCCTTCCAAACGACGCCCTCCTCCGCCTCCGCCTCCGCCTCCGCCTCCACTCCCGCCTCCCCCTCCTCCTGCCACGGCCACGGCGTCCACAGCCCCTCCCTCGACGAGTGCCGCTGCACCGCGGGCTGGACTGGCCGCTGGTGCGAAGTCCGTGCGCCGCGGCCGTGCAACGTGGCCCGCTCGCGAAGCCTGTGCGCTGGCAACTGCGACGAGGACCGCGGCCACTGTTACTGCGCCGGGCTGGGCTCGGCGTTCCAGCGCCCGCTTCCTGATCGCTGCACACCTTCAGTCCACACGCGATCGCGGCTGCCCGACGGCCGACCGGCGCTGCCGGTGCGGCGGCTGGATGGCGCGTGGACCGGGTTCGACGAGCCGGGCGGCGACCGCTGGCGCCGCGAGTGGGCCAAGCCGTGGCCGCTCGTGTACGACTCGCGGCCGGGCGACCCGCCCCTCCCCGCCGAGGCGCGCGCCGGCCGCTGGGCTCCCTTCCTCTCGGACGGCGTGCGCGGGTACTGCTCGGCGGAGCTCAACGCGACCTCCGTCTTCGAGGCGGCGGCGGGCGCGAAGCGAGGCGGCGGGCGGCGGCGGCGGAAGTGGATGCTCACGTCGGCCGACGCGGCGGGCGGGCCCGCCCTGCGCTGCGACGAGGGCGCTCACGGCCCCGCGTGCCCCGAGGGCCGGCGCGGCCCGTTTTGCGAGGTGCCAAAGCCTGCCTTCTGCCTGCGCGACTGCCGCGGCCGAGGGCGCTGCGACGCTGGCTTCTGCTGGTGTGAGCCAGGGTGGTTTGGTATCGACTGCTCCCTCTCGCTGCAGCCGCCGTCGCTGCACGAGCAGCCGCACGAGCAGCAGCAGCCGCCGCCGCCGCCGCCGCCGCCGCCGCCGCCGCTTCCGCTTCGCTCCGAGGCTGCGTCGTCGGCGAGGCCGCTGCCTCGTCTGGCGCCGCTGCGGCAGGAAGAGCAGGGCATGCCGTCTGCGGCGGCGGGGTCGCCGCTGCGGGTCTACGTGTACGAGATGCCGTCCGAGTTCACGACGGCGCTGCTGCAGTACCGGGGGGTTCACTCCGCGCCGCACCGCGAGACCAACGTCTACGGCGCCTCGCAGCTGGTGCAGGGCTCCCTCTATGCGATGGAGACTGCGCTGCACGAGTGGCTGCTCGACTCGCGGCTCCGCACGGCCGACACAGCGCAGGCGCACCTCCCTCCACCTCCCCGCACCTCCCCATACCTCCCCACACCTCCCCACACCTCCCCACACCTCCTCTCCCCACACCTCCCCACACCAAGCGCAGGCGCACCTCTTCTTCGTCCCTGTGTATGTCTCCTCCCTCTACCTCTGGCCAATACACGGAGCATCGACGGCGCCGCTCTACGGAGGGCGCCGCCACCGCGGAGCCACCCGCGTCCAGCAGGCGACGCTGATGCTGCGCGCCGCCGCGGAGTACGTGCGGAGCGCGCTGCCGTTTTGGAACGCGAGCGGCGGCGCGGACCACGTCTGGATGCTGCTGCATGACGAGGCTGAGGTGCGGACATGTCGCGGACATGTCGTGGACATGTCCCTGCAGGTCTGGATGCTGCTGCATGACGAGGCGCCGTGCTTCGCTCCTCGCGAGCTGCGCCCCTCGCTCCTCCTCACCCACTACGGCTACGACGCGCGGCGGGGCCGTCTCTCGTGGAAGCAGCCGGACGACCGTCCTCACGTTGATCCTCATGCGCCAATCATCGATCAGGCGGCCTCTCTCGTGGAGCAGCTACGCCGACGACGACTGGCTGCGCTCGCCCGCCTTCTACGAGGAGCACGTCGGCCCGCTCGCCGGCCCGCGGGAGGGAAAACGGGAGGGCCGGCCAGCCGGCGGGCGGCCGAGAGGCGGCGCCGCGTGCTTCGAGCGCGGCAAAGACTTGGTGCTGCCTCCGTGGAAGCCGCCCTCCTTCTGGCGCGCGCCGCTCTCCGACCTTGGTCTCGCCGCGCCGGGCCGGCGCCGCGGCACCTACCTCTTCTTTGCGGGCGAGCTGGGCGCCAAGCGGCTGCCCGGGTACTCGCACGACTTGCGCCAGCGGGCGGAGGCGCTGTTCTGCGACCCGCGCGAGCCGCGGCCGCGGCGCGACTGCCTCGAGCACGCGGCCGGCTGCCGGTCCGACCTCGCCCCAAACTGCTCGCTCTGGCGGCCGGGCGTGCGGGTCGTGCCGCACGTGCGCAGAGGCGGGCACCGCGCTCTCCGACTCCATCCCCGCGCCCCTGCTCACGCAAGCATCGGGTCACACACAGGGCTGCACACGCAGGCGGGTACGGCGCCGCGCTCTCCGACTCGACCTACTGCCTCGCCCTGCCGGGCGATGGCTGGTCGTCGCGTGTGCTGGACGCGGTGGCGCACGCCGCGCGTCCGCGCCGTGGTGTGAGCAGCGTCTCTTCACACCTCTAGCTGTGAACAGGTGGTGCACGGCTGCGTGCCCGTCATAGTGCAGGACGAGAGCGCCATGTTCTTCGAGGGCGCCTTCTCGCTCGCCGGCGCGCCCGAGCTCGAGTACTCCTCCTTCTCCCTCCGGCTGCCAGAGGCGGAGCTGCCCCGCGTGCTGGAGGCGCTCGACGCCGTCGCCGCGCCGCGGCTGCGCGCGATGCAAGCGGCGGCGCTGCGCGTGCGCGACTACTTTGTGTACAAGGACGTCTACGCGCCGTACCGCTACGAGCGCAAGGCGCTGCTCGCCACCGGCCGGCCGCGCCAAGACGGCTTCCTCCTGCTCGCCCTCGCGCTCGAGGCGCGCGCGCGGCAGCTCGGCAAGCTGCCGCCGCAGACGGAGGAGGGGAGGCGGCGCAACCGCGCGCTGCTCGAGCTTGATGGCGGCGCTTTAGGCGAGTGGCAGTCGCCGGTGCGGGAATACTGAGGGGAAGAGAGTTCGCCGGCCGAGCCTCCACCGGCTCCGGAAAAGGTCTCGAGTGATTCTGAGATCAGGTCAGTTCTTTTCTCCCCGTTGCAGGCGTAGCTCCGCTCTCCTCGCAGCGTATTTTGGCCCCTCCAGTTTATCGAGCTCTCCTCGTGTAAGAGCAAAAGGACCATTCTCTTCGACGAGATCGAGAGAGAGAGAGAAGGTACCTAGCACACCAACCTACGAGGTGTGGAGGGGGTGCGAGCGTTGACCAGGGGGTTGTGCGCCGGGCCCTCCTGCTCGGCTCCAGCCGGTACGCGGTAGACAAGTCTTGTCATCAACAGAACAGATGGATCTGACCTCGGGGCCGATGTGACCAAGCGCTGGTAGCGTGATTTTGACCTCACAGACCCATGCGCCATGGTCTCTCACACGTCACAGTGTGCCGGCAGTCGCCGAGCAGTGTCGCTCACACAAGCCGCAGCACAAGTGACTGAGGGCCAGTGAGGGCGAGCCCATCGCTGTCACAGCTGTGGCAGCCGCACAGTAGGCTGTGTCAACTGTGCAGCGTGTGTGAGCAGCAGAGGAGCTGCTCTCCAGGCTTCTGTTGCAAAGAGCTGCATGCCACCGAAGGGGCGCTGTCGAGGTTCGCCGAGCGCGGCGCAGGTTGGAGGACACCGTCACCGACGAGCGCGTCGGAGTTTTCACTCCGGACAAAGACGGCGACACGCACACGAGCCGCGGCCGTGTCGCCCCGTCATAGCGGCACACCCTTTACCGTAGCTCCTACCTACCTCCTATCGGCCCTCTCAATTTGCCGCCGTGGCGTAGCTCGAGAAGAAAAGACTTGGCCTGATATAAAAGACTTGAACGCAGAATCGACCTATGCGGGGCTAAAAAAAGAAACAATGCCGTGTGTTCATTCATCGTGAGGATCGAAAGCATGCCAGAAGGACTGAGGGACTGGGAGAGAGGCGGTCCTAGAGGCGATTGCTTACTATAGATCGAAGCTAGAGGCGGTGGTCTTCATGTGGGTGCCAGCACACGTGGGAATAGCAGCCTGCAACACATACGCCGACGCGGTGGCGACAGCATACCTCGGAAATAACGACACGGAGGACGCCTCAAAAGTGGTGCGGTACGCGGTACGAACTAGACCATGCATGTACACGGCGAGAAGGGAGGCGGCAGAGGACACAGAGAAGAGGGAGATAGTGGACCGACGGACGTACGGGCACATGTGTCAGAGCGCGCACGAGTGGGTGTGCGGACAATTTCGAAAGACGGGGAGGCCGGGATCGCACACGGCAGGGGTGGCGGGACGGCTGTGGAGCGAAGTGGCCGCGCTTGGAGGCGCTAATTGCTCGGCCGCGCGGGGCGGTTGACTCGCCCGCTGGGAGGGTGGTGCACGGGGTTTGCGGCGGGGTCCCCATCGTCCCCGGGGAGGGCGGCCATCAGGCCGCCGCGACTGTCGGCGTGGCCGCCCTCCCTTTCTCGGTCTTTTGGCAAGATTGGTGAAGTTGGTGAAGCATGGGTGCTGCCCTTGGCCGCGAAGTGCCCCTCGAGGGGGGCAGCTGGCACTCCGCGGTTCGGTCGTCGTGGTGATGCTCCTCCATCGCTGTTGAAGCGATGGTCCAATGCGTCGTGCAGTCAGTCAAGGTCGTACGTAGTAACGTCAATGCCCTCCCCTTCGGGATTCCCCTTGACGGCGTTCGATCTCGCCACATAATGAAGCCGAACCACAACCCGCGCCGCGTGCGCTGCATGGCGTGTGACGGCTGCCGGCTGCTCTCGGACTGTGGCGAGTGCAGAGAGTGCCAGGACAAGCTCCGCTTTGGCGGGACTGGAAAGCGCAAAAAGCTCTGCCGCGCGAGAATCTGCGGGCGACTCTACCCCGACCGTGAGGAGGAAAGGGAAGAAACGGCAGGCGCTTACAAGCGGCCGTTTGCTCTCATCTCTAGCCAACCGCCGCTGTTTGCCTCGCATGCCGCACCGGGAGCTCTGATGCACCAGAGCTCCTCGGTACCGGCGCTTCTCCCTGCCGAAGCGCTGACGCCTTCAAGTGGTGGGCTCATGCCTGGCCCCTTGCCGCTAACCGGTTCGCTCGCGTCGCTCCTCCCCGTCCGGCCGGCGGGGCCTGCTGCGTGGCCCGCGCGGGGGGGGCAGGCCTTTCCCGCCGCCGCCCCCAGCTTTGCTAGCAGTTCGGCCCGCGCTCTGCCCTTTCCTGCCCTGCATGGCCAGTTCGCTGCAGGGGCACATGTCTCGCCGCTGCCGCTGCCGCCGCAGCACCGACCGCCCCCCCAGCCGTCTCCGCAACCGACTCCGCAGCCGACTCCGCAGCCGCCGCCGCAGCCGCCGCCGCAGCCGCTGAGGCCGCAGCCGCAGCATCCGCCGCCGCTCGCACCTCTGCCGGCCGCGGCACCAGGCCTGATGGTCACCGCCGCCAATGCTGACAAGTCCATGAGATGGATCGTCGCGCCCGCCGCGCTGGCGGTGCTGGAGCAAGTCTTCTCCATGGAGCGCTTCCCGACGCGCCAGCTCCGCGCCAGCCTCGCCGCCGATCTCGCCGTCAACCCGCGGCAGGTGTAATTGCGTGTGTGTGTATATGCCGCCCCCCCCCCCCCTCCCCCTCCCCGCCCGCGCCCCTCACACCCCCCCACACCCCAAACTCGCGAAGGTCCAAGTGTGGTTCCAAAACCGCCGCCAAAAGCTGAAGAAGGAGGAGTCCCGCGCGGCCGTAGCGATGTCCTTGCCGCCGGCAACCTTGGGTGTTGTGGGGGAGCGGGAGGGCGGGCCGTGGCAGTTTGTGCAGCGCGCCTCGCCCTCGGCCCCGATGCTTTCGGCCGTGCCCGATGCCAGCTCCACCACGCTCGCAGCGGGGCCACAGCAGGCGGCGATTACTGCTCTCATCGAACGCGCCCGCACCATCGGCGCACGCCTCACCGCGCCGAGTCTGAACTCCTCCCCGCTGCCGATGGCGATGGCGATGCCCCCGAAGACACTGGCGGTGCCGATGGCGATGGCGCCGCAGCCGCGGGCTCGCAACCTCGCTCCAGAGGCGGATGGGGGGGACACAGGCCTGCTGATGCTCCTGGCCGCCGCCGGCATGCACTCCGCGCCGCCATCACCGCCTCAAGACTGCGGCGGCAGGAGCAGCGTAGTAGTTGAGGCGATGCCTCTTGCTCTCGCTGCTGTGGCTGAGAAGCCCATGGCGGCCATCTCGGGTGGCTTGCTCTTTGGCGCGGTCGGCGCCGCCGGAGTGGCTTTGTCCTCGCTGCAAAGCGAGACATTGCCGATCCTTCCCATCTTCTTTGGCTGTGTGTGCCTTTGCTTGGCCGCCTTCTCCGTGTCCAACGCCTTGCTCGCCGGAGACAAGTTTGTGCGCGCATGGGCGCTCGTTATCCCGCTTCACCCACTTCTGCTGTCGGCGCCCTTGTCGCTCGCCCACCCGGACTTGCTCCGAGCTATCTTGCTCGGCGATCGCTTGCCCGGGATTCCCGGGACCGTCTTAGTCGTGGCAATCGGGGCGGTGACGGCCACCATGCCGCGACCGTTTCGCTGGAAATGCGCCGTGATAGGCGGTTTCCTTCTGACGACGGCCAGCAATTTCGTTGTGGTCACGTACCTACTCGACGAGCGGCTCTCCTACCTATGCACCTGGATTCTCAGCGCCCACCCCCCGGCTGTTGCCAGCTTCGCCGTCGCTCTCCTTGGGCAGTACATCATGGTGCGTTCTGCCCCCAAGCCACCCTTCGCGTGATTCGTTGCGGCAGGAGAGAACCCGGCGGGGAGACTCTTGCTTCATCCATGGGCGCGTCTCGAGGGGCGCGTGTCGTTCGATGTAGTACCCCATGTCGCGTTTCACACTACATGTGGACGCCGTTCGCGGTCGCCAGTGAGCAGTGTCTCGCCAGCATGCAGCAAAATAAACGGTGTGCCAACACTCCAGGGTGAAAAATCCATTCTGAAATTAAATGTGATAAAAAACCTTATGCCCTTACTTACAATTACCTCGCCCGCCTATGAGCGATCTCGGATCTCTTGTTTGAATCATCGCCGCGGGGTCCGGGGACACACGGCCCCGCCGCGGGACACAGCGCTCTCACCGCCTGTCTCTCGCGACTCTCGTGGTCTTGCGCCGCTTGCGCTTCCCAGCAACTCAGGCGATCACGCACACGAATCACGATCAATCACGGACACTCCAAAACTCACTCGCAAGCGCCCCCCCCCCCCCCCAACCCCAACAAGGGCCTGTGCTCGGTAGGCTCGAGGAGCTCCACACAGCGGCAACAACACTCAAGCCGTAGACGGGCTGCGGACTTGACCGCGCCCCACCCACTAGTGCAGCCATGCGCGCCTTCTCTCCCGGTCCTCCCTCACCGCCCCTCGCTCACTCGCACGCGCGCCTCTCCCGCCTCTCTCCCGCCCCGCGTCACCGCGGACCACAGCGAAGCACAGCTGGCGGAGCCTCAGCACACCACCGATGTCTCATTCATGGATCTCCCTCAGCCCCTCTCTGTTACCCATCAATCCGGCCCATGATCGTTGCACCGCATCTCAGTTCCCTCTCATCACTCTTGTCCCGATGGCACACTGACACGCAACGAGTGTGGCTGAGCCATGTTCAAACTCCGCACTTTAATTCGAACTTTCTCGCCTCGGCTCGTGGGGCTCGGGAGCAGTCAAGCAGGTGTGCGGGGTGGGCGGGAGGGGGCCTGGGAGCATTTTTTTGCATTTCCGAGGCGAGCGTGGGCCGTGGTGGGCCCCTCCGGGCCTCTCTCAGCAGCACGGAAAGTAGCGCGCGACAGAGCGCTGTTCTCGGCCCCCTGAGCGTATTGGGACGAGCCAGACTAGCATGCACATCGCCTTGGCACGTAGGACGCACGACTTACCCACGCACACCCCGGTGACAATCTTGGAAATCTCCCGACAATCTCCCCAAATCTCCTCCCGCTCTCGCGAGTAGCGCGGCGCAGCGGGGCGCGTTGATGTCGATGAATGCAGTGTGGACTCCTTTTCGACACTCTCTAGCACCGGTGAACACACAGGCGTTGCTTCCGAGGTGGTAAAAATCTGTGAATGCCCGCCGAAGTTGTCGCGGTTTTCCGACTTGTCTCGTGCTCGAGCCATGCCGAAAAGAGCGGGCGCAGGCCTGGGACAGCGTCGCAAAAGCGGCCAAGGAGTCCGTCCCGGCTCCAGGCCAGGACCAGATCGCCGCTCGGTACCGCCAGTTTGCGACTCTGTGCCTGCGCAGTCGTCGCTATCTCACGCTTCCGATCTCGTCACAACAGGCGCCCTCGCCGAGTGCAACGTCCTCGCGGCCGCAAAGCCGTGCTGGCTCGCGCAGAGTCGGCGTCGCAAAGAACCTGAGAGCACCGCGGCATGCTACGGTTGGCGACGTCCTCGGCGAGGCCATGGAGCTGCATAGCACGAGCGACAAGGGCCGCCGCGACGGGATCTACAACCAGAGAGAGCACGGACGCCGAGGATCGCTCTCCCGTGCAGCGCCGCAGCGGCTCGTCGGCGGCTCGTCGGCTGCGGCCTCGAACGGAGATCGCATGGAGGTTGACGAGGAACCTCCCTCTCTGAGCAGTGCTCCAGCGGAGCCTGCGCAGCAGCAGCAGCAGCAGCAAGCAAGCGTGCTCACGCTGGTGGCAGACATCGGACGCCTCGAGCTGGAGGAGGTTGGCCACCGTGCCGCCGCTCGCGAAGCGATTACAGCGACAACCGGGACGCAAACATCAGGCGTGCCGACGCCTCGCGAGCTGCGTGCCCAAGCCCGGCTCGACTTGCAAGTCGTAGGGCTGCGCGAGGAGGAGCGGCGGCGGCAGCGGCTGCACGCGGCGGCAACGACGAGGCTCGTTCGAGAACTGGCGCTGAAGCTCTCGAACCCGCTGCGACACTTTGGCGGGGGTGCATTCATTCAGTTGATGATGTGCGAATTCGTCATGCGGCCAGAGGTACAGGGCCGCTCCGGCCGCTCCCTCGGCGTAGCGTTTCGCTCGCAGCTGCTGCTGGTGTACGAGCCCAGCGACGTGCCGACGCTCCCGGGCCTCTACAGCCTCGACGTCTTGCAGGCGTCGCTCAACACTCCGCTGTTGCAGCGGGCCGCCCTGCAGGCGATCGACGACGTGAAGCTCTTCTCGCTCCACCTGCCCGGCGTGCTCGGCAAGGTGGAGCCGACAGAGGCCGACTCGCTCCTCGGCCTGTGGCAGCGCGCGGCGGAGGTGCGGGCAGCGGAGGCGCGCCGGCCGCAGCGCGGCCGGCCACGCAATCGCATCGAGTACGCGCTGCGTCAAAACATGACGGGTAATCGTTACTCGGCCGCCCTGCGCAAGGCCGTGTACTTGTACCGCCACAAAAGCGGGACGGAGCGCTCAATCTCGATGCGCGGCGCTGCGTCGCTCGCTCGGGATGGCGCCACGCTCCTGTTCGACATCTCGGACGACGATATCGCACGCGTGCGGCTGCCGAGCGCGGGCACGTGCTCCCTCATCGACCGGGCCGTCCACCGGGTGCAGCGCATGCAAGAGGTGGAGTTCACCTTCTCGCGCGTGACCTACTTCGTCGCCTTCGGGCACGCGCAGACCCTCCCTCCTCCGCCACCGCTACTGGCACCTCCGCCTCCGCCGCCACTCTCAACCGCGCGGCCGCCACCAGCTCTGCCAGCTCCGCCGCCGCCACTTCCTCCGCCGCGGCCTCTAGCTCCACCACGGATGCGGCCTCTAGCGGTGCTGCTGGCTCCGCCCAGGCCGGTTCGTCTACCGTCTCCTCAGAAGCTGGGCTCGGCATCTCGTGGACAGAGCTAGAGCCGACGCTCTACGGCCGGGCGACCCAGCGTCGCTCGAGCTGCCCCGTGCCGACGGACAGGTACGACGAGCACTTGAACGACATCATTGTGCATAACATGCAGGACCTCTCACCGTGGGCCGACAGCCAGGACGTGCAGGCGAGGGCGCCGATCTCGGGGATGACGATTCGCGCCGGATCGCTCTTCAACCGCTTCAAATCGGGAGCCCCCACCGGGTGGGTGGCGAAGCTGTTCGCGGGCGAGGCACCGACGGAGCGCAAGCTGGTCATGCAGCGCTTTACCGACGGCAGCGAGTTTGGCGGGCACTGGCACCAGCTCCTCTTCTTCGTCGACCAGAGACGGGTGCTCTACCACGAGCCCTATGGCGGCGCAATCGACTCGGGCATCGCGTCTTGCTTCCACCGGAGCCCCGGGCCTGCCGCCGGCTGGGCGCTGGAGGTGGTGGATGTGCAGCTGCAGTCTTGCACTCACGAGTGCGCGCTCTGGGTGGACTTTGTCGCGGAGGTGGCTGTCGACTACGTGAGGAGCGACCTGACTCGCTCCTTCAGCGAGTACCTTCGCGGGTGCGCTCTCCCTGTGTGTGTGTGTGCATGCCTGCGATAAGGCTGACCGGTGTCGCGCCGCCCCCGCAGGCGTGAGGAGATCACCCCGCTCAACGGCATGCGGCGGACTTGCACGGCGATGAAGACGGCGAAGGCAAAAAACAACGCCTTCGTCGCACAGCGCCGAAACGACGTGCGCACGCTGTTACGTCTAGCCTATGTCCAGCGCCAACTGCCGCACACAGGCTCCGCAACGCTGACCGCCTTTGGCGCAGCGGCGGAGCAGGAGCCTGCCGAGGACACAGACTCGGACTTTGAGATGTTGACCTAGACCGACGTGTGATTCAGATAGTTGTCTTCAGATGTGTGTGTGATTCAGATGTGTGTGCGTGTGATTTTCGGCACGGGTATAGATTAGAAGGAACGTATCGTCACACACACCCTCTTTGAGAGAGGGACACAGCGTGGTGCACAGTAGCGGGCTAGCTTCTACAGAGGCAACCGGTCCGAGGGCGAGCGTTTCGCTCGCCCTGATGCGCATGAGCGACGTGGAAGCTCTCGACCGGCGCAGATGCCACGGGCGACACCAATCCCAGCCTCAAAAGGCGAGGAGGGCTGGTGGAGTGCCCAGACGGCAGTGGCTTCCGAAGAACTTTTTGCGGGTGACGCAAAGGATCCGAGGAGAGAGCACCTCGGCTGCCGGCGAGGCATCCGCCCCGCGCCCACACATCTGATGGAAAGTGCGAAGAAGTGGTGGCGGCAGGCTAGCCACCGGTGGGGCACACGGAGCGATATGGCGTTCGGCTGCGATTTGAGTGCAACCGGGTGACGCATCTCCTCCACAGAGACGCGGGGACGGCGTGCCTGCGAGGCGCCCGATATGCGCCAACGGACCCAATGGAAAGTGCGAAGCGAGCACTCGACGGCTCGCAGCCTGTGGACGGAGCACGAGAGCTCGAACCTCGCACTCTCGTGCAAAATCGGCACCTCGGAGCGCCTTTTTCACACCGCATTCGAGCCCATGAAAACAACAATGTACCCCAAGCAGCACGATCACGCCTCGCACCGGTGCGGTGGTGCCGGGCGGCTCTAGGGGGTCAGGCTGGCTGCATGGCACCACCCGTAGCCCGTTTTGCTGCCCTGGCATCACCCGGAGGGGGGATTGAACATGGTACGGGGCTCCACACCCGCAACATTTCAAGACTCCACATCGACGACGCTCTCGTCCTCGTCGTCGTCCTCGTCCGCCTCTGCGCGCGCGCGTCCCGTGCCCCCAAGTTAAAGCCGTAATAGGGAAAGGGGTCCCGTACCACGCGGAATCGACGTATCCCCCCCCCCCTCCTCCTGCTCCTCCGTCCTCGACTGCAGTCTCGGAACTCGGAGTCTGCAGACTGCACTCCCATTTACATACATAAAATCATAAACCACTCTAATTTCCTTATAGCTTAGGCCGACGACGGCGGCGGCGACTAGATCGCATGCGTCGCGCTATGCATTGATGTGTGTCCGATTGTCGTTAGGCTGCGCGTACGTCAGTATGAGCATCCATGATGCTCGCTGGCACGCACTCAATCAATCACATCCATTTACAGCGCGCGCCACATCATCACACTCTGCGCCGTCGTTTCAGGCCGGCGGCGGCTTCGGCCCCTTGTACTTGGCGGGGTACTCTCCCTCGGCGGCGAACTCAGCCTGGGCCTTCGTGACGAGCGGCTTGCCGAGCACCAGGAATTTGAGCACGAACTGGATGATGCACGCCGGCACCCGGTTGTCAAAGCAGCCCGCACTTGATCGTGCACGTGTCCTTGCCGCCGGGCCCGTCCACGATGATCAGGCTGCCCGTCACGCCGCGGAAGAGCGGCACCTTCGTCGTGATCACCCGCCACGTCCAGATATACGGCCGGCCCGGGTCGATGGTGACGATCTCGTCGTTGACGTTGAACGCGAAGATTCTAACACCATCCTTCGCCAGCGGCCACGGCGAGCCAGTGCGGCCCTCGGCGAGGAGCTGCATGCCGCCGCCGTCTTCCACGCTCCGCGTGAGCACGTCCCAGAGCACGTGCTTGGGCGCGTTGCAATCGAGCTGCCAGGAAACGTTCGGCACCGACGGAATGTTACCCGCAAAGGTGTACTTGCCGGCGTCCGCGTCGGAGAGTGGGAGGATGGGCACTTCCGCATCGCATCGCATGTCGGTCGGGTTCATGACTCGTGGCGCTGTTCACGCTTCACACTAGTTTAAGAAAGAAATCTGTGCTGCCGCCGCTCTGGCGGTCAGCAAAAGAGGAGCACGCTGCCATGCAGAGCGCTCGCTAAACGAGGCGGTAAAAGACAGGCGCGTCCTAGACGCCATAGCGTCCATGATAAATAAAACCACACGCAGCGAGCTGCGAGGTCCGGGGAGAAGATGGAAGTGTCATGGAGGTGAGTCCTCGTGTGAGTGGCTTCGAGAAACTAGTGGCCTTTCACGAGTTGGGGCCCCCACCCCAATCGTTATCGGCGGAGGTTGTGATAAGCGGAGCAGCTGGGTAGATACAGCTAACCCTTTGTGTTCACACCTATAAGAGCAGGTGTGAACCGATTTCGGCCTTAGAGGTCGGTATGCCAATAGCGTGCTAGCCAAGTAGTACGCAGTTGGGTTCCGAGGGTGTCCCATCACAAGTTCGGCTGCCGACAGACAAGATTGTCCCTTAGTCGACAGCACCCGCCTTTGGACGGTGCTCTGACTAGCTTTGATAATACATGTTTTGTCTTTTTGGTTCGCATGGCTAGAGGTTGGCCTCCCACCGTTGTGAACATAGTCTGGCCCGAAGGAGCCGCTCGTCTCTTGTCCGGGCAAACGCGCGCCCGATCGCCCCATTAAGCACGTGTGAGGGGTATCCGAGCGCGACTTTTTGCGAGGTACGGTATGGTACCCGGTCAGGACACATCGCGCTCACACACATGAACACACATTTGTTTGGTGTTGCTGAAAATCTCTCTATCACACATTAACACCAAAAGGGAAATGCGGCCTAATGCGGCTCGGCGGCGCCTACCGTGGTGGGGGGGGCACACACCGTCGTGACAGGCACAGGGCCACGCGGGAGACCGACGAGGTGGTCTCTCTCAAAGGATGCCCATGCCGTGGCCCCCACTCAGCATTAGCTCCTCAATCATCTCCAGCGGCCACCCGAGCGGCGCATCGGCGTCATCCTCCCTAGCATCCTCCGTCCTCTGGCCTGAAGTGGCGCTGCCTTCGCCGTCGCTTCGGAGCGTCGGAGCCGTCCAAGAGGCCGGCGCAACGCTGCTCGCGTGCGACAGCGGGACTTCGTAGACGGCTGGCGGGGTCAGCGACCCCAGTGCCGGCATGACGTCGGCATCGCTCCTGCGGGCGGGCTCACACGTTGGTGCTGTCCCCGAGGTTGCAGTTCGGCCCTCGAGCTTCGATGGTGACGCCGCAGCGCTCGCGTGCGACAGCGGAACTTCGTAGACGGCTGGCCGGGGCAGCGACCCCAGTGCCGGCATGAGCGACTCGATTTCGTGGAGCCCACCGCCCGAGATCAATAGCATGGACCGGGCCGGCTGCAGCGGTGTCGGTGTCGGTGGCGAGGGCGACGGCTGCATGTGCGCCACGGTGCTGCGGAGACTGGCCGCTGCGTCGGACACCATGCGTCGGCCTCGCCTTGGCTCCGCTCCGGCAGGGTCTTGGAGTCCTGCAGGGTCGGCTGCGAGGCAGACATGCCCTCGGTTTGGGCATCCGCAGCGGCGGCAGAGGTAGCTAGAGGAGGGAGACAGCGCGGTCTTCTCGATGCCCTTGCCGATACGGAACCAGCGGGACCTTGACGATGACCCTGACCTGCCCGGCAGCTGCTGCGCCACGTCCTTCCAGCGATGCCCAATCGCCTCGACCGTCGCAAAGAGAAGTTCATCTTCGGCGGCGGTCCACGGCAAGCCATCTCGTACGGCAGGCCGTCTTGGCAGGCACGGCGAGTCGCCGCTCGACGTCGAGTCGACGCTGCTGCGGTTCTGAAGTCGGGGTATCGGCGCAGCGGCGGTCCACGGCAAGCCATCTCGCACAGCAGGCCGTCTTGGCAAGCACGGCGAGTCGCCGCTCGACGTTGAGTCGACGCTGCTGCGATTCTGAAGTCGGGGTACCGACGTAGCGTCGAGCGATTCCTCTGGGGCGAAATATGGTCTGGGCAAGCTGCTGGAAGAGCGGCTGCCGCCCAAGGTCATCGAGGTGAGGTGCCGTGTGGCAGGGGCGGAGGACCTAAGGTATGAGGGCGCAGCGTGTCTTCGTGCTCGACGTGCTCGTTTTTTTTGTTCTCCGGCTGCTTTCGCCACTCAGTGTGTGTGTGTGTGTGTGTGTGTGTGTGTGTGTGTGTGTGCTCTGCCAGCCATGGCCGTGACTCCGCTGTCGGTGTGTCGCGGGGGACGTTATTGGCCCTCTGCCAAGCAAGGCGCCGGGCGGTGTCCGCCGGCGCCGCCGTTGAGCAGTGAGCCTGTGGGGGTAGGTAGGGCGCGGGTCGGCAGTCCCCACGAGTTGAGCCGCCGTGCCGGGGTCCGCGCCCTTCCCGGAGGGTGAAGGCTTGCGCGCGGTAGCGTGCCTGTGTGCTCCAGGATGCGAGGGGCTCCACTCCGTTTTGCCCGCCGAGGGGCGGTGGCCCATCAGCCGACTGAGTCAGGAGCCGACACCCGGCCCTCACACGACACCCGTGCGGCGTTCAGAGAGTTCACACACAATGGGACCGCCCGTCCTCCTCAATTCGATCGGGACCCCCGGGGGTCGTTACATGCGCCTCGTCACACCGGTGCGAGCTCCATTCGCGGCTCCAATCGCCCCAAGTCACCCCGAGTCGCCTGTCCAAAAACCCTCCCCCGTGACACGGTGGAAACGCCCATTGTGGGCTGAAGCGGCTGTCGCCGGGGAGCGTAACGATCGCGGCGCGCCGCGACCGTCTTCTCTCGCCGCCACGTTACCCCCCCCACCCCTTTGGGCCGCGAGAGTACCATACCATACCCCGGAAAAAGTTGGAACCCAGTCCCGTGCTGAAAGAAAGAAAACATGCGTAGAGGCACATGCACATGCTAAAACAATGCTAAAAAAGCACTTTTGGTGCTTGTTCGTCCTGAGAAGGGGGGGTGGACGTACGCCAGCGGCACGAGGCTCGAGGGCTTCAGCCACACAGCGCTTGAGCGGCCGCACACTGCTCGGTACCCCCCCTGCACATCTAAAGCCATGGCCGACCCCCCCCCCCAGCAGCAGCGCTTTGCTGCTGGGGGGGTCGGGACCCCCCCCCCCCTAGGTGGAGGCCTTTTTCCTGGGGGGGGATTGGTTGGGATCCTCTGTCCAAAACTGTGAGTTGTTAATAGTTATTGTTTTTTTCCCAATGGTCA